AGAACCTTGATCAAGAGAGCCACTGGTAAAGAAACCAACTCTAGAGCCGATAGGCAATAGATATTGGTAATATTGAAAAAAAAAATTTTTAATTCTGATACTTTATTTAAATTATGTATGAATTTTATACTTTTTTTTTATTTTAATCTCTTATACTCTGCTTTGTCTGAAATATTAGTCCCTATATTTTCAGAAGGATGTTGAAAAGAAAGTGTAGGACATATTATAAAACTTGAATAAAGTGTAAAAACTGAAAATTATATTTTTCTTAATTATTTGGTATAAGGAGGATATATTGGAACTATATCCATGTGCTTTCAATTGTAAGGGCCCACATGAAGTTTGTTTTTTTAGTCTGTACGTGTATATGCGCTTGGTAAAGGTATAAAAGCTGTACAAAGGATTGAACAAGATTGAACTTTAACCTAACTCAAAATTTGGTATCTTTTAAGCTAGTTTTTGATTATGTGACTATCCTAAAATGCAGCATTATGGGACATTAGATGGCTTTAATAAAGCCTAAGAAGGCTCATGAATGCCTTTAATGAATGTGTTTTAGTTGTTGTTGGCTTTAAATGCTATTAATGAGTGTTAACGCTAATGCAAAATAATTAGCATAAATTTTAGGAGGGTAGTTAATAGTGGCAATTGGACTCAATGGAGGTAAAATAAAGCTAATGAAAATTAGTTTTAGGATTAGATAGGCTTAATCATCCTAAGTGACAAATTAAGCCTTAACTGCAATTAAGAAATTAATAATGATAATAAGTAATTAATGTTGTTTTTGTGGCTTTATGTGTAAAGCATAGTACTTTGGAGCTTGAGTTGGTGGGTAGCTCCTCCAAAATTTAAAGTTGCACTTTTGGGTTGGTAAATCCAAGAGTTGAGGTAATTGGAAACCTTATGATTGCATATAATTGTATCTACAATCTTAATTAGTTTATATATGATTAATAATGCTAGATGATTGGCATGAATTTACTATGTTGTTGTGATATTGAGGATGTTGTTTAATTAGGGGTATGCTTGATTGTGATGTTGAAATGATAAATTGTCTTGACATTAGACATGTGGTTATTGTATTATGGATGATAGGTCTAGATTAGCTATAAATAGTTATTGATGTTATGATAGTAGAAAGCATGTTCAACTCACATGATTATGTGATGTGGTAGTTAACTTGATTCATTGATAATGGCATGAAATGTGGTCATATAACGTTGTCATTTGAAGTTTTCTAGTTATGGGAATATGCAAGAGTAAGTTGCATGTGCATGTTGAATTGGCATGAGCAAGTGAGTAAGAGTACACCTCAATTTAGCCGAAGGCTAGTCAAAGTAAAAAATCCACATGGCTGCTGCAATTAGATTATCACATCAAGCGAGAGATGGCTGCTTTAGACGAAGGCTAATCTCGTACGATAATGAATGGGCCCATGCAAGTTCAACTGCCAGATCAAAAGTGCTTCGTACTCTAAATCAGCATTGGATCTCACGATGGCCTTTTGCTTCTTCATAACCCAAGAAACTAGTGAGTTGTCGATAAACATGCGGTAACCTTCGACAGAGCGTTGATCATCTGGACACACGGCCCAATCAGCATCAAAGAAGCTTGCAAGGTAAGATTATTACTAGGTTTAATGTGTAGTGAGAGATCGAAGGTTCCCCTAAGATATAGAAACACCCTCTTTAAGGCTTGCCGATGAACATCTACAGGAGCACTAAGAAACTGCCTTAATTTGTTGACCGCAAGATAATATCTGGTCTAGTGGTTATAAGATACTGAAGCAACCTAACTGCTTCTTTGTACATTTTAGGATTTTAGAGAGGATCACCATCATCCTTAGACAAATATCGACTGACAACTATAGGAGTTAGCACGTTGGAACAATGAGTCATGCCAAAAAAATTGGTAGAGTTTCAACATACCTCTCTTGCTTGAGATATAATTCGGTGTTATTCCTGTAGGCCTCAATTCTTAGAAGTAATTAAGTTTCCTAAGATCTTTTAGGGCAAATAAAGAGTTCAACTTCTCAACAAAAATTTCAATAAGAGTGGGTGAGTTCCCGGTAACAATCATATTGTCAACATATATAAGAACAAACATCACCTTAGATTTTTCTTTCTAAAAAAAAAAAAGGAGGAGTCACACTGTGAATGTATGAATTTACAAGCCACAGAGTTTATCTCATTTTATCAAACTAAGCTCTAAGAGCTTGCTTTAAACCATAAATTGCTTTTTGTAAAGAGCAAACATGATTAGGATATTTAGGATTTACAATCCTTCAAGACCCTTCATTAATACTTCCTCTTTTAGAATTCTAATTAGAAATGCATTATTAATATTCATCTGTCTAATTGGCTAGTCAAGTGTAACAACAACAATAAGAACAAACCTTAGGGTAGTGGTCTTGAGAACATGACTAAATGTCTCATCAAAATCAATCCCTAGAAGTTGTTGAAAGCCTTACCAACAAGCCTTGCTTTATGCTTAGAGGTTAAGCCCTCAGGATTCACCTTGTGTTTAAACACCCATCTACAATCGACAACTTTCTGATTTTTGAGATAAGGAACCAATTTCTAGGTTTGATTTTCATAAGAGCATTGAACTCTTCTTCCATAGCCTTTTTCCAAATGTTAGATTGTGTAGAGCTTCTTTAACATTGGAAGGTTCTACAGCTGAATTAGCTTCTGTGGTTTACCATACCAACATAGGGTAGCTTTGGCTTATGAATTCCAGCTTTACTCCTTGTCACCATTTGATGTTTGTTGCCCTGTTCAATAACCTGTCCAGGTTCAGCAGAATCAGATATAATCTGAGTAGTGTTAGAAAAATCTGGAGTTTCTGACCTGTAGATTCCTCCATTTGATCAAAGTTATGTTGTTTATCATGTTGTGTTGGTGTGTAATTGCAAGGATATTAGACTGAGGTGCAACAGGCACAAATATGAGCTTAATAAACCTTCAGAAATTGGGAATCGCTCATTGTCATCTTTCTCACTGAACGGAGTAATCATGTGCTCTTTTCCTCCGCAGGCACATTGAAGGAAACGCATTTCGGGCTGATGTCAGCCCTATTGGTGTTCATGAAGTCCTTGAAGTTTCTGACACACAACTCGTTATACTCTCTTATTCTTCCCCCATGGAGTTTTCTTGTTTAAACTGAAACAATAGTTCGTCTAATAATCTCAAAGAAATAGCCAGATAGGTTATTCAGTTTTGTATAATCTGATTTCCATCAATAAATTTAACTGTTCATATTGATCTTATAGTTGTCGGTATAGTAATAGTGTCTCTTCTCACCTAGCATGGTATACAAATGGAGACAAAATGCTTCTACTGATGTGAGTCTCTGATGCACAAGCTTATTCAATGAATAAAGTAGGGAAGGTGCTTTCTGTGTCTCCTCCTTTCTGTCTGAACAGATCTACTTTCTGATTGACCTGTGATGACATTTTTCTTGATAAGTTGCAGCTTAACGAATCATGGAAACCAATGGTTTGTTCTATTTTTTATTCAGGGTGTTTGAGAATATTCCTAGGGTAACTTGAACGAAAATCTGACATCTTTTTGTCGGAAGACTCAATTTAAGATTCCTAGATATTTGAACTGATAAAATCTGGATTGCAAACTGAGGTTAAGAAGGTCAAATAGTAAGATCCTCTGCATTAAAAGGAAAGTTTCTAGAGAGGATATAATGCCTGTCTTCACCCAAAGGCACTAGAGTTCCAAACCAGAGAGTCCATGCAAAGCATATTCAACCTTGCTTGCCCCGGGTTTCTTCTCCTTCAAACAAGCACCACCATGTGGATAGATAAGGTAAGCAAACACCTCAAAACAGACATCTCATGGAGAATTTGATGAATCAGATCAGGTATGTCGGCATGACTTTTTACCTTGGAAATGTCGCAACATGTTCTAGCAGCCATGTGCGTGCTTACATAGATATGAATAAACAAACATTTTCAAATGGGCAAGGTTGCATGCTAACATTTTTGGTTACTATACCCTTAAGATTGCATAATTTACCGTGTTATTGAGATTAGTTTGCAGTTATTATGTGATCAAACTTTAGAAGTGTCTGATCTGACAATGAATTAAAGCGATCTTACCTAAAGGAAATAAGAGTTCATAATTATCATATCTGCTGTAAATTAAGTACAAATTCACTTATTAGAGTTGATAACTATTATCAAGTTAATCTTGAACCTTTTCCTTAGGTTGATATTTACTGGTGCAGAGGAGAGCGGAGCTGATCTGAGTGGCATCAGGGATCAGAAAATACCCTCACAGAAAGGTGAGGCACTTTATTCTCTCTGTAGTTTGAATTACCTGTATTAACAAAGAAAGGTTGCTAATGAACCAAAAAAGAAAGAAGTTAAAAAAAAAGTTATTTAAGCATAGATCTTATGTTAGAATGGCAGACTCCATGGCTAAGTATTCACAAATAATACCAGACTGTGACTACATCTTTAGCCATCCTCCTTCTTGGCTTAGAGAGGGGGAGGAAGGTGAAAGAATTCAGCTCTGTAATGCTTCTACTCTTTGATTGTTGGTGTTAATGGTTTCACTTTTATTCAGAGAAAAAAACCAAAGAAGGTTGCTAATGAACCAAAAAGCAAAGAAGTTCCCTTTTTCAGCAACCGACTTTCCTAGTTCACAGGAGAAAAAGCAAACATTCCTTTGGCAATACAATAGTTTCTTGATTATGGTGATGAACAGAGAGTAGATCACATAATCAATAAGATTGGTTTTCTTTTCCGACCATTTGCGTGCATACCAACTTTGCGTGTCAATTTTTTCAGAGGAGGCCCAGAATTGGTTCCCAAGGCAGTTTTTGAGAAAAATGAGTAATGACTATGACTCTCTAGAGATAGAACGTGCTACTGCAATTGCAGCTGCCGCATTCGCCGTAACCTCACAATATTTCTCTGAACAGAAGACTAGTGAGGGTCCTGAGAACTTATTGACCAAGACCAAAAGCAAAATAAGTGGTTTATCCAGGAAACTCTCAGGTAAAGTCATCTAAAGAAAACTAGAGTTATGATTTTCGTCCTTATGGAAGAGATTCAAAAGAATAACGAACTGCTTCTACTTCACATGCAGGTTCATTTAAATCTTCAGATGGCCTATTTAACAAGGTGCCAATATTTCCAGTCACCGATGAAAAGAAACCAGAAAAGATTCTCACCCCAGTATCTTCAACGAAGAAAACTTCAACTTCTAGCGACCACTTGAACAGGGATGATACAAAACCTGAGGTCCCACCGCCAAGAAAGACTCTATCTTTTGGTGATACAAACTTGAAGAAAACGGAAGAAATGAAACCTGCGATCCCAGAACCAAAACTTGCTCCACCAATTAAGTCAGAGTATTCAAGCCTAATGCTTCTGCCTCCCCCGCCACCACCGCCACAACCACAGAAAGTAAGGAATGATGCGATAAAGCCTGGCCCTCCAAAGCCACCCACTCCACCAACAAGAGTGAACACTAACGAAAAAAAAGCAGCTGCTTGGGAGAGGGAGCAGCTTGAAACGATCAAAGAAAGGTACATGCATGGCTGTAGTGTTACTTTGCACGCACTTAATATTGATTGGCAATCTCTTGGTTCAAACATCGCATGCACTTCTTATTTTGCTGATGAAAGATGCATGTCAGGTATGATAAGTTGAAGCTGACGATAAATTCTTGGGAAAACAAGAAGAAGGCTAAAGCCAGACGCAAGTTGGAGAAGAAAGAGGTTCCTTTAATTCATCCATTCTTTTTTCATGCTTGATTAAAATAAGAAGCTCTTGTGCATTGCGTGCTCAAAAAGCATTTTTGAAACAGATGAGCAGTTCTGAGAAGGAAAGGCGAAAAGCTTACGCGAAATTCAATAGTAATATAGAATATATTAATGGAATTGTAAGGTCTGCAAGTGCTGAAGCAGAAGAAAGACGAAGGAATGAAGAGCATAAAATTAGAGAAAAGGCTAAAGTAATCAGAACAACCGGCAAGCTTCCAGGGACATGCCCCTGCTTCTGAGATCACCACTTATATGTAGCTTCACTGGGTTTGAGGAACAAGAAGAAAACTGTAAATACTTCTTCGATTATTTGATTTACAAAGTCTTAACTAACATCTGTCATGAAACTACATGTCTTCTGATAGTTTTTATCCTTCTATACAAGAAAAGCAGGTGAAACGAAAAAAATAGAAATCGTAATATATGATAACATGCACTTGAAATTGCAATAATCTAGACAAATACCAAGCTGCAGAACAAATAATTTACATAGTAAATCACAGCGTTTCTCTGGTATATGTCAAAAAGCTGATGAGTTATCTTGCTTGCGTCAGGTGTCCAAGTAATTGCCAGAAAAGAATTCGAATTAAATTTTTGAGATAGCATTACTTCCTAGTTCCTTCTCGAAACCTTTCAATCTAATTCATGACGATGTTAAAGAAGAAATAAGTCTTTAGATCAATACATGAATTGAAATCAAAATTTAAGCAATGCAAATTACATCAGTTTGCACGCAAAAGGGAAAAAAACCCAATTCACTGAACTAACATGTTTTAAAAAATAAAAATTTTCTCATGCAATTTAAATGTTTGTTTATTTTTTCTGCGTACTCTTATTATTACATAGTAGTATTTTTCTTTCAATTAATCAAAACTGTTACACGAAAATGAAAAGTAAAAAAAAAAAATGCTGTTGTTAAAGGCACATTTTATTTTATTCTAATGCTGTTGTTCAATTGAAGTCACTGTCACTCCTGGAATCGAATAAAGGAAATTATCTTTATCTTCACTGTTACTCAATATCCACTAATTGATTCATCGTAATACAGAGACATCTCTATCAATTTCCAAGATTCGTCTCCATTAGATCCTACCATTCGCTTGACACAACGCCTAAAAATTGAACACATTATATATATATATATATATATATATATTCAAAACACAGTTTGAGCCTTTTAAGGAACAACACATCACATATGGTGAAATGAAGTTACAAAGGAAGAAGCTGAAGTTCCTAATCAGATGAGGAGAATCAGAACAGCAAGAGCTACAGTACATAAAAAACTATGGTCGAAGTGACAAATAACTACACACAGAGTTCACAAGAACAAACCCATCACTTTTTCAACAAGCCTTGAGCCAACTTCAAGTAACCCTCATAGCCACCACCATTTCCGGAGTGGCCTGGTTTTGACGAGTCAGAATCGGCCTTAGAGCCCGATCCCAAGAAACCCTGAGCCATCTTCAAGTAATCCCCGTGTCCATGCGACTTATCCGGTTTTGCCGAGTGCGAGCTCGCGATGGTCGGATGCTCTGGATGTCCGCCGCCGACGGCGTTGTGGGAGGAGCCGCCATACTTGTGGAGATAATCCTCGGCCTTGTCAACGTACTTGCCAAAGGACTTGTCTTCGAGTTTGCCGTAGTGGCAAGCCGCCTCGAGAAGATCGCCGGCGGCATTGGCGACCTGGGTTTTGTCGACTTTGTGGGATTCGTGGCGGAAAGTGGATTGGGCAGCCTGAGCAACCAATTTGGCACTCGAAAGAAGCTCGCTGGAGGAGTGTTGCTGGTGCGAATGGCCATGGAGGTGGGTGTGATCGGAATCCATCGGTGCTGGAGATGAGAGGAGAGAGAAAATTCGTCGGAAGAAGATAGGATTTGGAGGAGAGAAATTGAACGATGAAGACGAAGTGGCTGGGGCGTCGTCTTCTGTACAGTTGTGGCGAGCGTCAGGTCTTCACTCGTTTGCGCGTTCGGGAGGAAATTAATTTTATTCTACATTTTTATATAAAAATTAATAATAATTTTTTTAAAAATATATAAATAATAATTTAATCTCTCAAAATATTATAATTTCTTAAAATTTTTAAAAATTAATAAATTTATAAAAATTATTAAATTATTTTTATTAAAAATAAATAATTTATAAATTTTATATAAATATTCACAATTTTACTTCTTATATTCACAATTCTTTATTTAATGTTATATTATTGTGAATATAAAAAAAATTATGAATATCAAAACAAAACTAGTGAACTATTTATTTTTAACAAGAATAATTTAATAATTTATATAAATTTATTAATGATAAAAAAATTTTTAAAAATTTCAGAGAAATTATGATATTTTGTGAGATTAAAATGTCATTTATACATTTTAGAGAAATTTTAGTAGCATTTTTTCTTTTTGTATCTCTCTTATTAATATTCTTTCCGTAAATTATAATGAGTGAGAGTAGAATTGAAAATAAAAATCGAACTTAAAAGGTTGAGTGTCATATTTAAATAAGGGTTTAAATTTAAAAAATAAATAATTTTTAGGATAATCGAATTTCAAAACCTTACCCTAATAAGCCATAAAAAAAGGCTCAAGTTCAGGCAATGCCCAAAGCCTTGTTACAATATTTTTTGTAAAAATTAAAAACACACTGTGTGATGAAATTAGGAATTTATTTTAATATAGAATTTTCTTAATTTTAAAAATAGGAATGTTTCTTTCATTAAAAAATTTGAATTAAATTATTATTTGAAAGAAGTTCACTTGATAGTATTCAATTTTAAGAAGTAGATGTGTTACATTGGTGGAACACTAATTAATAACAATTTTGCAATCTTTCAAAGATGACATGCGATATTCTATGTATTCTGATCACTACAACAGCTAGTAAATTGATTTTTAACATAGGCTCCCATATTCTAACAAGTTATCATCCTCGATTCCTTTCAAATAATGTGCAAGCATTAATTTACACTCGTGTTTAAATGATTTTATGCCATTTTATGGTAATTCTTATATTCTGTCTTTTGATGTGTGTGTATTTGATAATGACACAATTTAATTAACATTTATTGTAGATTATGAAGACAAAGTTATATAAATAATTGATATTGAACCTTAACCTCTATCTTCAACAAGTGAATCTACATTTGAAGGATCTAATATTTTATTTTTAAATGATGATAAGGAGAATTTAGATTTAAATTGATAAAGATTTTAATCTTTATCTTAAATTTAGAATTTTAAATCTTTATTTGATGTGAGACCTTGATTTATTTTATGTTAAATTTTATAATATTTTATTTAAATTATAATGTTAATTTTTTTTATTTTTCTAAAAACAGGCTTGCAAGCCCAACTTTGAGCTCTTTAGTTAAGATTCCAGCTTCAAAATTAGGTCAAAAATTAAAAAAATTAGGCTTTAAGACTTAAACCCTTAAAGGTGGGGTTCATAAGGACTAGGCCAACTTAGTTTCTCATCTCTCAGTGAGATTGAGAGGAATATCATAAACATTATAATTAGTTAGAAAAATTCTTTAATTCTTAATATAAAGAATTTTGTGAGATGTTAATTAGATTTTTTAATTTTTTTAATATTATCTCTATTTAAACTCAGACTATGAGAGAGGATATGATGTAAATTTATTTTTTATTTAAATAAAAATAAAATTAAAAATTTATGCTATTTTCAAATGAAGTTAAGAGTAAATTGGCCCAATGACAGTGAAAAAGATATTAATCAAAAGTTGTTGAATATGTTTTTGAAAGTTCAGAAATGTGACCCATTTACAATCAGTTGAGGTGTGATTTTCTCTTTTTATGCCCAAACCAAAAAAAAAAAAAAAAACTTATGTTACAGTAACGAAACTCACATAGCTGATGGTTATAATTATGGCCCATTTACAATCATTTCAATATTTGAATACTTCATTATCAGCTTAATCGATATAATATTTTTCAAATTTAAAAATGAGAATAAGATTTTAAATTTAAGAAGAATAGGCATTTTTATCATTTTAATTTAACTTAAATATTAATATGGCTACGTTACAAAATATTTGAAATGTTGGACTATTATCTTGATTTAATTCTATTAAATGGGATATATATGCAAAAAAAATTTAAAGTTAATGAGTTAACCAACTTTTTTTTATTCTGATAAAATAATTAAAAATGTCTTAGACAGAACAAGATGGGAGTATAAGGGTAAGATAAAAAAATGCTGACATTAAATTATTTATATTTTGAATTAATAACTAAAAATTGTTCATATCTAGGACGGTAAAATTTTTTTTTTTTGGAGGAGAAAATCTCTTGCCATGATTAGAAAGAAATTATGGAGCTTTTATTTATTGTGAGGAATTATTTGTTATTGAAAGGTCAAAGAGAATTTAATTGGCTCCGCTCCTGCACGTCAGCCACGCGCTTAAGTAGTTTCCCGTATTTTGCAAAATATAGTCAACGCGCTTGATGTCCGTTATTGACTGTTATCTCCGCCTTGCCGACAATTTCACATCTTCATCTTCTCGATTTTTTTTTTTTTTTTTGGGGGGACCAACGTGCCGACATCACTTGAGAAGTTAAAGCAATCTATGAGGACAGGAGTAGCTTCACAACACGCCATGGCTTTTTCGTCTCTCAATTCTCCTCCAAATCATCCAAATAGATATGCATAGTTCAGGGGAATGAAACCACATACATACATATATATATATATATATATATCATCCTTCAGGGCTTGAACCATCCACAACGATGATCCAACTCTCACACACATTACATAAATGGCTTACAGTTAAAGTGCATGCCCTTACATCTCTCAAGAACTCACTACCACGCATAGAAAACACACGTACGTCATATGATGCTTACTAAGAGACACACAATATCAGCTTTATATATTCCTCAGTTGTCATATATATCGGTCACTTGTTCATGAAGCCTTGAGCCATCTTCATGTAGTCTCCAATCCCGCCGCCACTGCCGCCGCTTTCAGAGCGACCTTCTTCTGGCTTTGACTCCGATGGTTTCTCCGTCTGGCCATGGCCTCCGCCGCTGTACTGGTGGAGATAATTCTCGGCCTTCTCCACGTACTGGCCCATGCCCTTGTCCTCGAGGTTGCCGTACTGACGAGCTCCCCCGAGAAGATCGCCGGCGGCATCGGCGACCTTGGTCTTGTCCAGGCTGCCAGATTCCTTGCCCAAGGCTGACTGGGCCGCCTCCGCCACCACCTTGGCGCTGGACATGAGCTCACTGGTGGAGTACTGCTGGTGACGACCGTGCTCCTCCTGCCGGGCCCGATCAGAATCCATTGCAAGAGACACCAAGTTAACACAGTGAACTGAAAACGGTAGTGAATCAGTATACGACTGTAACAAGATTTGATGGGTGTGTCGTATATATTGAGAATGAGGGTGGTGATGAAAATACAATATGTGTACGTGTGTGGATGTGGAGAATCCATGTGTGCGAACGTGTGTGATGGACAAGAAGATGTGGTGGCAGACGACGCATGAGATATTTTGCGTGTTTTGGGGGGACAACTGTACTTGGATAACATATTTAGTTGTTCAAAATTTAAGATTTAATATTTTTTGATATGACAAAATCGTTGTTAGCCGTTGGAGTAAATTGAAAATTTGTCGATATAACATGCGAGATACTCATTAGTTGAGCAGATTTAGGCCACCACTTACCCGATTCAAATTCTTTTGGATAACACTGCACGGACACACGTTGCTTTCTTCCTTTAATTATTTGCGTATGGTGTGACTCAGCAGGGTCCCTCATATGTCGGCCACTGATCCGCTTGTTTTTTTTTTTTTCTCGGGAATTAAATTAAACCAATCCGGTATCTGAAGCCATGTTAGACTAAGAATAATCCAGATTAATTTGAGCCAGGTCGGGTCCAAAATGAGGGAAAAAAATTATTTTCTATATTCGCATAAACTAAAACTTAAGACGTATTTAATTAGTAGCCATAACTTTTTTCGCGAAGACATGTCTTTGTTTGTACAGTCTACTTTCATTTTCCCCGATTTTCTTTACTTGTTTTGTTGGGTTGTTAAGCGGGACTTTTCCAACTACGCTCACGAGTGCATAACTTTTGTAAAATGTATTTGTGATGGCCTAGCTTTTCTGATTACCTAAGTCTTCACATGATGCTGATGTGTGTGTGTGTGTTAGAGTATAAAGGCAAGCTAAGTCACATGATTTTTTTATCAACCCTAAAGGTTAGTCACTTGATGACTCTTACATTTTGGATAGGAAGAAACACTAGGCAAAAACAAAAGCAAGTTGTTAAAGAAGCATATGATGAAGATTATAACAAGCATAAAAATTGGTGGGCGTAGCATGTGAAAATAGAAACAAGACGAATTCAAACTGGTTTTCCTTTTCTTTTTTAATACAAAGCGACAGAGAAAATATGCAAAGAAACAAAGATTATGTTATGTCTAAAACTATAAAATTTTTGCAATTAGAAGGCAGGTTGTCGATAATCATGATATCAAAATTATTACTCAAAGTCTTTTAAGTCAATTGAACAATGCATTTGTTTGCTTTTATGCAAATAAAATTAAAAATGATCATCTAATCTTTTATGATGAGACTTTTAATTTTTATGATAATTGTTGAAAGTGATTGAATTTTTGGGTAGTTGAATTCAATTAGAGATAAAATATTTATAGAATCACACTAGACATCAATTTTAAAGATCTTAGCATTCTAGCAAATATTAAAAACTTTCAAAATTTCTATAATCTTAGCAGTTGTACTACAATGAAAACTGGTTTATTTTGGGAAGAAAGTTGATGAACAATTGTTCAAGTTGCATGCCTTTACAATTGTTAATTACACTTCAATCTAATAAGTAAATGTTGAGCTCATGAATAAAGTTGGAAAAGTAGGTTATTCTGACCTTAAAAAACCAACCTTAATAGGCTTAGGTTTAAAAGAATCAAGCTTGAAAAGTTTATTTTTCATTTGATACCTTGAGTTATAGAAGTCGACCCTCAAGAAATGTTTGGGGCTGGCTTTATGAGCTTGAAGCTCTTTTACTTATTTTTTATATTTTTTTTAAAAAATAAATTGCCTACATCAAACAATAAATTAAAGTGCCCATTCAAAATTATTGTCCAATCTTCTAAAATCAAGCCATAAAAGGCCAAAGAGTATAATAAATTTGAGTAAAATTAAAAACAAAACAACCAAATCAAGAAAACTAAAAGGATCCAAGCTATGAAATTGCGAGCTCAAAGCTACGTGTGCCAGACTCACAGCAAAACTGAGAGGGACTGTTGCACTGGGCCTGGGTAATCGAGACGCAATTGACATCAAGCTACTTATTGCCAAGGAGTGGCGAGACTGAGAAGCTGAGATTGAGGGAAGAACAAGGAAAATGGTGCTGTGGTTTTGGTTCGAAGAACAATATGAGAATCAGAGTGTCGGACAAGGAGGAAGGTACTGCCATGGTTTTGGTTTGAGCTCAGATCAGATGTTGCCGTGGTCGTAAACGAACTCATATCAAATCTGAACTGGGCAGAGACATATCGAAGATGAACCGAAGAGAAGAGGGATGCTGTTACGACTCGTGAACAGCGGGCTGTGCTTTCATGCTGATGAGTTGAAGATGATAACTTAGCAGTGAGTTGAAAAACATGATAAGATTATTAATTTAGGGTTAGTTGGATTTTTTTGAGGTTTTTTCTTCTCTCCTATGCAAATATGGGCTAAAATGCGGAGACCGACCAAACTTAATTTTTTCCCCAATCCAACAATCCTGTCTAAATTGATTGTAAAATAATAATAATAATAACAAATGAACTTAAACGGGTTGGTCCTCAATTTGTTAGAGCCAGCTCATTTATTTTCAAGCCCATTAAGACTAGTCCATTTAAGTTCAAATTATAATTACTAAATGTTAATTACAACTTTGACTCTCATGTTAAATGGGTTAAAACGGGTCAGTTTGACAGGCTTGACCCATTTTTCTGACTTTACTCATAAATTCTTATCTTTGATCCTTGAAATAAAGAGTTTGATGCTATAAAAAGGCTTTAAAGTATTTTTGGGCCCACCTTCACATCACAATTCTTCTTTGGAGTCCCTAAAGTTTTTGATTTTACTCATCATATTCGATTATTATTGGGTCCAATTGAGACTAACTCATTTTTAAAGGCAATTTTCTACATTCAAATGGACTAAAACATGAGATTTTGTGCTTGATCGTAATCCCTTCCATTAAAACCAATGCCTTGATTAAAATCTCTTAATTTTATTATTACGTGTTGTGGAGTTCGAATTTTAATACAATATTTGGTGATAATTATAATTTAGGAAGCCCAATCTGAGATTCCTACCCAACCTTAGCCCAGTTGTTATACTATAGTCTCTCTAGTTCTATAAATAAGCTACCTTTTAAAAGAAAATTTTGATCCTTTTTTTTCAGTCATTTTGCATAAAAAAATATGAATTATTAATTTTTTTTTAATTTTATCACTTCATAATGTTCGATAATTACAAAGTAAAAAGTTATAGCAAAGATAAAGTGTTTTTAAAATTATGCTAATAAGGGTAAATTTGAATTTTTTTTTAGACAACATCAATTACCTCTTTTTAATTTTGGTAAGGTAGCTAGAACTTATAAATAACATATAAATAAACCAATTAATGAGGGGTTTGGATCTAGTGGAAAAGACCAATCCCTCACAACATCGCAAATCAAAGTTTGAGTCTCCATTGAAAGAAGTGCCTGCATATGATGTCCAACCATGTATGAAATAAGATTGTCTCGATAGATAGAAAAATAGCTATAAGCAATAAAAAAAAAGTGATTTATAAATAAGAATAAGGGTGAGTATGATTGTCTTGCACATTGGATAATGGGAAGCTATTATGAAGGTGTGGATCTGCGAATGTTTTTTATTTGTTGATGCGTTTGTTCCGCTTTTTATTTCATATCCTTCAAATCTTATGGGCTTCCTTGCTCCCAACCTTTGTTTAGTCAATAATTCAAATGTAATTGGGCTCGGCCCAAAAAAAGTTAGTCGTCATTTTGAAGGAAAAACTGGTTTTTTTTCTAGTATTTCATTGACAAAAATAATTAATTAGGCCAATCGTTCTAAATAAAAATATTTAATGCAAATTAATTTCAGTTGAATACCATTTGATTTTGTTATAAGTAATGTCACTTATTTTACGATTTTCTAAGCAGGTGTGTAAAATAAAACTTCAAAAGAATAATTCACGGTTAAAAAGTACTGATAAAATTACTCACAAATTACATGGTCAGACTCTCAAATATCATTAGAAAAATTTTCCTGAAAACTTGTTATCGTATTCTAAAAATTAACCAAGCATATGAAATGTTCAGATTAAAATGATACACTTTTCTTAAAAAACCAAGTCAAGCGCATCAGGTTTTTGAGGTTAATTATTTTTTTCCCGAAAAATTGTCATATTATGTTCTTAAAGTTAACCAAACATATAAATTTTTCATAATAAAATCATACATCTTTCCTGAAAAATCCAATTCAATACCATCAAATTACTCAAAGGGTATTTTTATCTTTTCGCACCTAGAAATATTGACATCGAAAGACCAGGAACATATAAAATGTCCTAAATGGGGTTTGAGATTTTTTGTCCAATTATTTGCGGTGACATGAAATGACAACATGCGATGTAGGGTGTGAATAGAATGACAACATAATGAGCCAAGATGTGGCAAGGCTTATACATATAAATACATATAGAGAGAGAGAGAGAGAGAAGCGAGGACAATGGCATAATAAAGGAGATCATGGGGTCATATTCATCTAATTCTCATAGAACAGATAGTTAACCCCAGAGGAGTGAACCTGGGAATACATGGCGAATTAGCTTCCATTATTTGCTAATTTACTTTGTGTTCTCAGGTCACCCCTTTGGGGCACTCTGCTTTCACTTTTTCATCATTCAATCTTACTCTCGATCTTCCCTCTATGTAAGTTCTCTATATATATCTCTTTGCTTAATTATTTGTTCTATATGCCCACTTCAATCAATGCCAATCTTTAGTTTTTCTCTTCATGTCATCACTGGTAAAAGCTTACATATATATTTGATCCAGATTCATGTATAGATGATGCAGATTCGTGCAACTCAAGTGTTTGCAGCAGTTTCTTTTCTGTATACTATATGGATGATTCAGAGCTGTTTGACAGTTTTTTATTTTCTCTAAGGAAGCCCAGACGTGATATTTCTAGTCAGTTTTTTAAAATCTTAGTGAAAGATTAGGGTTATTATTATTGAGATGGAGGGTTTCTTCAAAAAAAAAAAAAAGAAAAAGAAAAAACAGGGTTAAGTGTATGATCTGACTTTCATGGTGCAAATCATCACCGTTCATTCTTTTTTTATTTAATCCAATGGCTGTTTCTCCTTTGACAACAGCAGATTCGGAAAAAATTTAGGAATGTAGACAGCATTTTACTTTATGCCAATTATTTTTAAAAAACAATTATAATTTTAAATATTCATTTTAATAGTAAGGCCCTGAACTTAATTTGAATTAATTAGAGATTATATTTTAAATGAGTTATTTTAATTAATTTACACATCATAATAGGTTATCAATAATTATATTGATGAGTTAACATTTATATGTAACCAAATGAAAATAAATTAATCTTTAAACAATTGTAATTTTTATTAATCTAATACCTCATGCTTGTGCATTTTTTATTTGTTTTTTATATTTTTTTATACTAATTAATTACATTTCTTTTTTATTGTTCTATATCATTGTTATCAATATTCTGTAATCTATGTTAACAAATTTTAATAGTATTACTATTACATCATCTTAAAACAGTATGGATCAAATTGTTAAATAAGATAAATTTAAAAGGACAAATCAATAACTGAAGTGAACTTGAAAGATTAATAATTTCATTATCTCTATTTAAATTGTTTGTGTGAGGTTTGTGAACAATTTTCCCTTGCAGTTTCACTCATTTACAAAAAAGATAAATAAATTCTATCTAATTAATAAATATTTAAAATTATAATTTATTTTAAAAATAAGATAAAAAATTAATTATGATTTTAACTTAGTTAAAACTCAATCCCTAATTAACTGAGTCAAAGTTTAAGACTTTAATATTAAAAAATATTTAAAATTATAATTTTTAAAAAAAAATAATTAAGATTTTTTTACACAAAAAATAAGATCTAACACGAGTAAAAATATTGACTCTCTTCCCTTTTTTCCCAATCCCACTTGACTTTGGACATAATGGATTTGGATTCCATGCATGAGAGGCGTCAGATTAAATTAAATCTATGGTCACAAATATTTGTGCCGCTAACAATCAGTAAAACGGTAGGTGCTTGCGCGGACTTGTATCTCCTTTTCAAACAATCAATCAAACAAAAATCATCCTCTTTTCCAACGTACTGAAAATTGAATTAATCGTTTATCAAGCAAAACATTAGATTAAGACTTAATGATTTAATTAAGGATCAATTTAAAGTCAAACTGTTCGTCATTAAAATAATATAATTGAATTTATATATATAAAAATATTTATATTTGAATATAAAAAATAAATATTTAAATAAAAATCATTAGCTCTGCTTAAATAACTCAACAAAAATTCAATAAATAAAGAAAAATATTATACATGTGAGTGTAATCCTAACAAAATTTAGTAAACTCAATAAAATTTTAATAAAAATTAAAATAATTAATTATTTTTTTTAAATAAATGGACTAAGTTGACCAGGGTCACTCCCAGATTAGTCTCGATTGACACACTACCTGAGATAGATTATAAACTAAATTGGCCAACTAACTAGTTCATCGAATTATCCGTTGGGTTTTCATTCATTGAACATGTAAATAAATAAACAAAATTAAATTTCAGACATTACAGCAAATGGCAATCACTTGTTTTTCTCTATCCCTCAAAGGACAGTGTGACAAAGCAAAACGATGACAATTGTCAATGACTAGAAAAACGGATGACAAATGAACAAGCTTGTTGGTGGAATAGAGAAATGGGTTTCCGCGCAATGCGAGGACTAAGGGATGAAGGAAGAGCAAAAGGTTAATATCATCTTCGCACCCACCGTTTCCATAATTGTTGGTGGCACAAATATTTTTTTACCATAGACTTAATCTTACATGTCTCACGCTGCCACATGTTGCCATCCATTCCATGCTCAGGCTTCGTGGACACATGGGATCAAAATCCCTCACTTTTATGTGTAAGTTTTTCAATATATGTTGATTTCGCCTCGGTTAGGGTTATGCAAAAGTTTTTTAATTTAATGCTGTCCTATTTAATTTAAGACAAATTTAATTCTATTTAATTTGAATAAAAGTTAGTTTTTCAAGACAAAAAATATCAAATTCTTTATTCAGGTTATACTAAATAAGAGATTGAATATTTGAATTACTTGATTCAATTCGGTCTATAAATTTATTTATTATAATTATAATTAATTTATTAATTATTATTAAAATAATTTAATTTATAATAATAATTAATATTTTTTGTATTTTATACTTGTAAAGTTATAAATATTGAGTAAAATTGTAACATTGATCAATTTCATTTTTTTTCTTTTATTGATAAAATTTATTGTTAATTTAGTGTAATAAACTTTAGATATATTGAAGGTTCTTTAATTTAAATAATTTATATTATAATTGAAATATTTTTTGTTGTTGTTGTAAATTGATGTGGATTTATAATTATTATTATGATAAATTTTATATGACTATAAGTAATTTTATTATGTTAATTAAATTTATTATATTAAAATTAATTATTATCTTTCATAAATAAAAAATAAATAGAGACTTAACAAGATCAAGATTAATTTTTAGTTTTACTGAATTAATTCAGTCCCGTTTGACTTTGAATTAATGCTAAATTAGATCATGAGTTACTTAATTCAATTTTTTTTAGGAGAATGATCGGACTTCGAGTTAGATCAAAATTATGTTAGGTCAGACTTTTGCACAGCCGTAGCTTCGGCGTTATTTGCACAGTGCTGTCTGGTACTGCAACCAGAGAGATATAAATGCATAATTGAGTGTGGCCCACGTGCCTATCTTCCTCGCATGTAAAATGAAGGTAAATTCAATACAGGTCACAATTGGCCCCAATAATTAAATAAATAAATCAAGCTCACAATGTCCTCATGGTGACGCCATCATGTCCCTCTTCTTACAATTCAACAATTTCCCTCGCACAAAATAATAATAATAATAATAATAATAATAATAATCAACATTTCGTTACTTTATGAGTACACATTAAACATCTCATTCGATTAATCTACTGTAAACAATTTTTTAATATAAAAGTTACTTTCTTTCTTTTAAAAAATATACTTTCATGTAAATAGAGAAATTTATTTTTTATTTTAATTTCAAGATTATTTTTAGAAAGATAAAGAGCGACATCATTCCAACAAAAATTTAAAATACTGATGCATTTGGAGAAAAAAATTTAGAACAAATTTACTTTGTAACCCAAATTTATCTTTAGAAATTTGGGACTACAATGCTACTTAATGCAAAACACTCCCACATATTGCCCACCCAAGGGCCTCTTCTCCGTATCTCACCAACTGACCCACTTTCCAAAAAATTTCAAATATTTTTAAGAAGAGATCAATAGGAAAATTATGAAAGCAATATATTTTTGAGCAATGGGTTAAGTGAAAAGTTTCATATTTTATTTTATTTTTCAACAAAAATTTTGATATTTTCTAAGGTAAGGAAATGTCTAATTACAATATAATATATCCCCAACTGTTCTTGTACACACGCGCACACAATTAATTTAACGTTATCACTGGAATCAACAAAATGTTTAAAACTCGTTAAGTACTCTATCTAAAGCTTAAAAAAAGTTTCTAATTTTACACTCATTTAAATCCATATATGGTAAAACTTTGAAAAATGAAACTACATTAAACAAGAACGATAGGAAAAATATGCAATAAATAACTCATATAATGCTTTATAAAATATAAAACATCAAAACATTTTCCTCCAAATATCTTGTAAAAATGACACGATGGAGTAAGTGCTCGTTTGAATTTCAGTTGGGTATAATAAATTATGAAAATAATTGATTAAGTGATAGATTTTAATCATAATTAATTATATTATAATGCAATCTATTTGGATACTATTTTTTTAAAATTGATTTTAACAGAATTAAAAATGTTTGGATAATTTAATTAAAATTAATTTTTAACTATATAAATTACTATATAATTTAATTTTTAAATATTAAATATTAATTTTTTAAAGATATAAAATTTAAATTTTATTAAAAAAAATTTAATTTTATTTTTATTAAATTATGTGCTTTCTTTATAATATTTTTTTAAACCTGTCTTTATAATTTTTTTTTCCAACATTTTTTATAAACGTTTGGCAGAAAGCTGATGGAAGGAGTTTATGAAAAAAACGTGCGTTTTGTCTCTTTAATTAATTTTTGTGTTTTTGTGCTATTTGGATAATTTTATTTAAAAAATTAATTGTGGGCTTAAAAAATCAATTTTCTCTTCTATCTAAATACACGCTAAGCATTTGTTTACAACACAAAAAATACGAAAAGACAAACAAATTTAACGTAATTGTAATAGTCAATTTATCAGCATTACATACCAAATCAATCCAACATATCAACATAATTAAATTTCTCCCCTTTATTCTCCTCCCTTCCAACCACAAACAAATCAATTATAGATGAAAGTAACATCAAACCTTCCTTCTGCCAAACCAAATTAAACCACGCCATAAATGCATATAGAGCAAGTTCACAGAGCTTTGAGTACAGCACGTGCGATAGTAATTAAGCACCACATCTTGACATTGGCCTAACTTTCAAACCTAATCAAGTCACTCTAACAGTCAAAGTCAAAACAGAACTTGCCACATTCACTGAATACTATAATATTTTTTTTTATCAGGTAAATACTACTCTTTCTGTCTTAAATTATATAACATTTTTTTTTTAAATTTATTTTAAAATATAAAATATTTTGAGTAAATTAAAGTTTCATTAAATACATCAATTTTAATATTATTTTTTTTTTCAATAATTAATTTTCATTATTTTTTTAATATATTAAATGATGAATATTTTAAAAAGTTTATATTTTTATTTTAAAAAGATGAAATTGTTAAATATATTTAATAAGATTTATTGATATATAAAATTTTATTTAAAAATATTTTATAATTTAGAATGAAAGGGTGTGATACAATGACTGATGATAATCAGGGGACGAATAAGAGTGGAATGTTCTAAATCACTGCCCCGTAAAAGTTTCCTTAATTATTCTTTACGGACAAAAAAAAAAAATCTCTCTTTTCAAATCCAACGTAAAGCTTTCCCCTTGCTATAAGAGTTACGGCTCCCCTCTGTCTTCTCATCGAAGTCTTTCGCCACAAAGTCCATTCCATAGTGAGCTCAGGAGATCTCACGGGAAAACATGTCCGACGCCGTTGTTCATGTGGCTCTCCTCCACTCCGCCGGCGCGGGTCATCTAACTCCATGTTTGAGACTCGCTGCGTTGCTCGTAAACCGCCATTGCAGAGTCACTCTCATCAGTCCTCATCCCACAGTTTCTATGGCCGAATCTAACCTCCTCTCCCGCTTTCACTCTGCTTTTCCTCAGGTCTCTCTTCTTCCCTTTCATCTCCTTCCTTTAGATGCTTCCACTGCAAACTCCGACGACCCTTTCTTTCTTGGATTCGAAGCAATCCGTCGCTCTTCCCACCTTCTGCCTTCTCTTCTCGCTTCGGTCTCTCCTCCAATCTCTGTTTTTCTCTGTGATGTGTCTTTGATATCCCCTGTTCTTCCAATTACAGAGACCCTTCGTATTCCCTTTTACATCCTTTTTCCTTCTTGTGCTAGGATGTTTTCCCTTTTCTCATCCGTGCCCAGATTCATTTCATCCATATCTGAATTAGATTTTGTGGACATTCCAGGAGTTTCAGCCATACCCAGATCGTCAATCCCACCTCCTCTTCTTCACCCCGACAATGTCTTCGCTAACATATTAAAAGAAGACAGTCCCAAGCTCCCAAAAACACGCGGCATTTTGATGAATTCATTCGAAGCAATAGAAACAAATGCGCTTGAGTCTCTGAACACCGGAAAAGTTGTCAAAGATATGCCTCCCGTATTTCCCATCGGGCCTATCATGCCATGCGAGTTCGAGAAGAATGAAACACAACAAACAAACTCTTCGATAGTGAAGTGGCTGAACGATCAGTCTCCTGGGTCCGTCGTGTACGTAAGCTTCGGAAGCAGAGTAGGCATGTCCAGCGAGCAAATAAGGGAAATCGGAAACGGGTTGCTGAAAACCAGGTTTAAATTTCTGTGGGTAGTGAAGGGTAAGAAGGTAGACAAGGACGAGGAAGACGATTTAGAGGAAGTGTTGGGGGCGGAGCTGATGAAGAGATTAAAGTCAAAGGGATTGGTAGTGAAAGAATGGGTTGATCAAAGTGAAATTCTGAGTTACAGTTCAGTGGGAGGGTTCGTGAGCCATTGTGGATGGAACTCGGTGCTTGAAGCAGCATGGCACGCCGTGCCGATTTTGGGATGGCCTCAGATGGGAGACCATAAGGTGAACGCAGAGGCGATGGAGCTGAGTGGGATGGGAATGTGGAAGAGAGAATGGGGTTGGGCTGGAGAGAAAGTGGTAAAAGGAGAAGAGATCGGAGACGCCATTGATGAGATGATGAAGAATGAAGGTTTCAAGATGAAAGCAGAGGAGTTGAAACTGGCAGCGAGGAAGGCCGTGGGTGGTGGTGGGAGTACTGAGTTAGCTATTCAGAAAGTGATTAATGAGTGGAAGAAGATGAACCATTGATATGTGCGAGAACGTACGTGTGAGGATCGATGGTGGTATAACTGAAGAAGAAGCAGCAGCCATGCATGCATGGCGGCGTGCTGTCACAATAATCTTCAAGTCTGCAGAGAGAGATCTAGGGTTTAGAGTTAAGTTCTCTATATTATAAGTATTTGTTAGTTTGCTTAATTAGTTCATGCATTGGCCGGAGTAATTGCTTCCTGCATTATTGCTAATAAATTGTTAATTAAGCTCTCACTACAAAAAAAAAAGCTAATAAGCAATGAAATTTTGTATCGCTAATTAGTGAAAATTTCATTACCAAATGGATTAGCGACAGAATTAGCAATGGAATATTTTTATTGGTAAAAACATCATCATTAATTCGTTAGCAATGAAATTTGCAATTTGGTCATTAATTAGCAATGAAATAGCGACGGAAATTTTCCATCACTAAATAAGGATAAGTTATTATTAAATTTTTAACAGACTTATTTCGCTGCTAATTCTATCACTAATTTATTAGGTGGATTAAAATATTATTGTCACGTCACTGGTTGGACCAATACCACCTCATCATCATCTAGTCACCCAGTGGAATAGTGCCATTTTATCGCCACATTCTAGTCACCTAGTGGACCAGTGCAACTTTACCACCATGTCACTATCACGTCTTGTGTCACTATTATGTCAAATATTATTACCTTTAATTGTGCCTTGGCTTGATTCGAACTTGTAACCTTATACTTCCTAATGCCTTTGCATTCACCTTGTTATCAGTTGAGTTGAAAGGAATTTTTAATCTTAATTAATAAATTAAATATATAATACTTAACCACACACACATATATTAATAAATATATTATTTAAATTATTATTAAATATAATATTTAAATTTAGTTATTTTTTTAACATTATATTTATTTATTAATACGGAAACATTAACTTATATATAATAATTATTTTTATTATATTTTATTTAAAAAATTATTTTAAATTATAATTTTTAAAGTCTTTATTTATAGCATAATAATAAATTATTAAATAAATTATATAAAAATATATATTATAAATAATAAAATTAAATTAAAATAATTTGTGGCGGAATTAGCGATGAAATTATGATAGAAAGCTTTGTGACATAATTTTCTATCATAAATTCCATCACTAAATTAGAATAAGATATCCTGACCATTAGCGATAGAATTTTTCGTCAGTAAATTTTATTGGTAAATTATTTTCAACGAATTAGTGATAGAATAATAATAAAATTTTAGTGATAGAATATTTTGTCGCTAAATTAGCGATGAAATTAGTGATGGATTAGTGACAGAAATTTATTCTATTCTAATCTGCTGTTTTTTTTTTTGTAGTGTCTAGTGAAAAAAATAAGTTGTTTCTATGCAACTTTATCTTGAATAGGATTTTCTCAAATAGGAAGATATCTGTAAATGATAAAAAGTTAAAAAAAGTTTTTAAATTATCTAGAAAAGGAAAAAAATTGCTAATTAAGCTTTTATTTTAAATTTTTTTTATGTTATTAATATTTAAAAAGCTTTCAGTTAATACTTTATTTTATTTAATTCAAAATAAGTTATATTAAAAAGACAAAAAGAACATAAAAGGCCACAAAGAAAATAAAATTTCAGATGAAGACATCTGGAATTAGGGAAAAGGGGAAAGACATAGAAGTAGAAAACGTAAAGTGATAGAAAATTAAAAAGAAAAAGAAAAGATATTAATTAGAATTGACTATTCCAGCTACTCTTCTACTACATAGTGGAATTCGAAAGTTGAGCGCCGTTCGATGACAAATAATGTTCATGTTTTTAGTAGGAAGTTGACAATCAGATCGCTATGTTGTTTTACGAACCAAAACTAAAATTTAAAAAAAAAAAAAAAGCTCGTCTCTTTTCGAAGTATGTGTATTTTCAAATCCAAAGGTAAAGCTTTCTGGTTTTTCTACACGAATCACAGCTTCCCTCTCTCTCATCTTCAAAGTTCTCAGTTCTTGTCCACAAATTCCATTGCCACTAGGTACCAAAAATAATAATAATAATAATAATGAAACAGTCTGTTGTTCTAGCAACAAAACCACCTCTTTCTTTTAGAATAGGTAATGGGTTCGAATTCAAGACAAAACTACTCCAAACACAACTGTCAACGAACAGACCTAGGCTATTATCAACACTTAGCTTGCAAAGACTAACGTAGCAAATTGAAAGGTATTGTGTGTAGACAACATGATGTTCCCATCCAAAGTGACACTTGGACTTTACCGAATGAGGAATGGTTTAAACTAAATGTGGATAGTGCTTTTGTTATGCATCATAACATCATGGACTGTGGTAGTGCTTGTCAAAATTCAAGTGGTGAATTTAAAATTAGTTTCAGGCTTAACATGAATGGTGATGTTTCACTGATTGCTGAGCTCTAAGTGTGCTTCTGAGATCTTAAGTTTGCTTGGGACCTTAATTACCATTAGATGATTCTTGAATCTAATTGCTTTAAAGCAATGGAATTTGTTATTAGTAGAGGGCACTCTCAACATCCAAATAATGACATCATTTTTGAAATTCAAGCTCTGTTGGCTCGGGATTGAAGAGTGAGAGTCCATAATATCTCGCATGATGCTAATGAAGCTGCAGACATACTTGCTAAACAGGCTTTATCTTGTGTAACTAATTTTTCTCCTATATTTACCTCTTTTTCAGAATTGGTTAGTTCACTAAAGCAAGACATCCTAAATTCTTAGCATCCTCCCTTGCTATGAAAAAAAAGTAATGGATTCAAATCTGACGTTAACATGGTTTTTGTGCGTGTGTAGGTATGTGTATGTCTCTTCCTCATGAGGAAGGGCTATGTTAGGGTAAATTTTAAAAAAAAAGTACCAAAAAAAAAACATGTGCTTGATTCGCAAGAGCAATTTACACAACTATTTGCTTTACTATATAAAAGAAAAAATTATGAATAGATATCTTGTTCAAGAAATTAATTCACACAAATAAATCTTACAAAATATAAAAATTATAGTTAAGTCTCTTGAAATTTATGCATAGTTTGTAGTTGAGGTGCAAAGATAATATTGTTCTTATTAATTTGACTTTCACTTACAACTACAATATGAAAATTTACAAGTAAAATTTTATAATTTTAAAATTAAATTTCTTGTTTAACACTTTATATAATATGAAATTGTCATGAACTTAATTATGCCTATAATTGGCTAATTGAAATGTAAAGAAAGTAATAGACCGAGCTCATTTGGATTTTACATATTTAACTTACTAGTTGTTTAAGGTTAATTAAGTGATATTTTAAGGCAGGCAATACAATGCGGGTCCAAGATGAAAGCAATTGAAGGGGCCAAAGATATGGACATTGTCTTTCTCATTTTCACCGTTCAATATAATTTACTTATCTTTAAAACATAATCTAATAATTGTTATTATATAATTAACAGCATAAGAAGATTTAAACCTTTTACAAGAATTAAATCCATGCCGGAAAACTAATATTTTATTTTTGAGAATTAATATATATACATATGAGAGAGGATATTCAAGATTTAATTTAGATCCAAATTAACCCCCATAGCATTAGATTAAGTTTGAATGTGTGCAATACTCTAGTTTTAATTGGAAGCACTTTTCTCTTTTCTTTTCTTGTCTTCGTTTGCCTATTTCAAAGCAAAGCCCTCCACCTATTTCAAAACATAGCATTAAATTTTTGGAAGGTATAATAATTTTTACATTTATAATATATATTAGTAAGTTTTATCATATTTATCATAAGAGAAAATGGTGATTTAATTCATTTTTATCTTTATTTTTTTAATCCATTCTTTTTTAGTAACCTATGCGTTTATAATAGTATGGGAATTCGGGTTAACCCATTTGATTTAACTAATAAATCATAAAATTAGTGTATTAATTGGTTTAATAAAATACTTTATTTATAACCAATTTAATCATGATTTAACTATGATTTTGACCATCCACTAACACTTAAACCAATGTCTTAATTAGTTCCATTTTCATTACCACGGTGTTTATATCACCATGGTGATTTGAATAATCTAAAATTAATTTTAACGGGCCAAATTTAAAATTTATGACCAGTAATTTTTGATATAAAAAATTATTTTTTTTATCAAAGTAACCATTATAATAAGATTATCTTTATTTTAAATTTTGTACCAATTAAAATAAACAAACAATAATTTATAAAAAATATAAAGATTAAATTATATTAAATCTGGAAGTGGAGGGTTGTAATGAGCACCGACCATTCATTTTTATCAATGTTTCTAAAGATTTAAAAATAATAATAATAAATGAAACTGAGATCAGCTACTAAGTGTGACTACAAAACGAGATCCCTATCCCTAAGCAACTCCTCTTGGACCAAACTAGAAACATAAATCCCCGTACTTCCATGCAAAGTCTGCCTAGCAATCCCCTCCGCAATAGAATATTTCGACATGCACCTTTGATACATGCTCGACTTTTATGGGCAAACAATAATAGTTGCATTTTGTTATTATGGAGAGCCGGGCATGCTCAAACTACCAAACCATAAACAAGTAACTGATTGAGTTGGAAAAAATAGGTTTAATTAGCCATGATGCAGGACTTAAACTTGTGGGTTGGCCCACTTATATTAAAAATAAAAAAAGACAGAAAAAAAAACTAATGAGATTGAATTTAAAGTAAAACATTCAAAATAAATATGCATGAAATTACGATTTAAGTGCTTGATATTTTTACATTTATTAATTCAATTTTAAATTATGATAGAAAATAATAAAATTACACCGTTCATATATTTAAATGATGATATAATATAATAGGTAAATATAACTTTTAATCCCTATACTTTACTTGCTTTTTGATTTTAATTCCTAGACTTTTTTTGATATTTTAGGTTTTTACATATTTATTTTTCATTATTTTTGGTTCCTCTATAAGCAAAGTGTAGGGACCTTAGAAGGATTCAAAATAATGACAAACAAAAGTGTATGGACCTAAAACATCAAAAAAAAAAATATGGGAATCAAAAGCAAAACACAAGTACAAGGATTAAAATTTATGTTTATCCTAATATAATCTTAATGTAATCAAGACAAGATTAAATAAAATTTATGTTGCAATGATGTGTTGATGTGGTAATAATATATTTGGCAACGTTATATTTCTGGATGAAAGCTGACAAAAAATGTATAAAATCTTATTTTTACCATAACGT